GGCAGTATCAAGACTAGAAAGTACCAAACCTGGGAAGTAATGAGTCCGGGCAGTATCGAGGCCAGAAAGTACCAAGCCTGCGCAGCACCAAGAGCAGGCAGTGTCGAGAACAGAAAGTACTGAGTCCGATCAGTACCGCGAGCAGTTAGCAACGAGACCAGAAAGCACTGGGAAGAGGAAATTACCAAGAACAGGCCTCTGACTAAGAATAGGCAGAACTGAGACCAAAAGCACCAACAGTAAGAGATACCAAGAGCAGAAAGTGCCGGAAGCAGGAAGTACTGAGACCAGGCAGTACGAAGACCAGGAAGTACCGACACCAGACATTAACAAGTGTAAGAATCACTGAGTCCAGGTAGTACTGAATCCAGGCAGTACTGAGACATGCAGTATCAATACCAAAAGCACCAAGACCGGGAAGTACTGAGAGCAAGCAGTAATAAGACCAGGAAGCAATGGGATCAGAAAGTACTGAGAGTAGGCAGCACCATGAGCAAGCAGTACTGAGACTGGGCAGCACTGATGCTGGGGAGTACTGAGATTAGGATGTATCTGGACCTAGAGGTGACCTGGACCAAGCAGTACAAAGACAGAAATAAGATAATACTGAAACTAAGAACTGATAATGGGCAAGTCCAAGACTGGGCTGTACCAAGGCCAAATGGTAGTAGGAGGAACAAATGACACAGTACCAAGATCAAGCAGGAGTGGGACCAGGAAGCACCAGGACGAAGCAGCATTGAGACCCGGAAGTACCAACACTGGGCAGCACAGAGACCGGGAAGCCCTCTGATGTCCTGCATTAGCAAACCAAATTAAATGGGCATTAGAGTAAATCGGCTCTCTGATTTCAGGGGTGTGAGTAAAACTGTGATTTGCATTTTCCACTGCGGCTTAAGACATAATTAGTTCAGGGTGATTCCCAAGTGGAAACACTGACAGGCAAATGTGCCTGAGTGCCAGGGTCTTATCACTACCCCCAAGGCAGAAAGTATGTATCACAGCACGCACAGTGAAGCGGCATGCTGTGTGTGTCTGTGTCTGTGTGTGTCTGTTGTGTGTGTGTGTGTGCGTGTGTGTGTGCGCGCCACGCTGTGCGCCGGGCAGGAATCCTAATGAGGCTGGATATACCCCCTAGGATCCGCAGGTGAACACACACCAGCCAAAGTCAGAGTTTGCTACTCGTGCAGGACAGACAGAGAATGTAGAGCCTTTGTAGATTTTATCATCACGTCCACACAAGGCAAGCAGGGGGTCTCTGTATGGGGATGACCCTGGCAGGGAGCGGCTGCAAAGTGATGGGCAGATCGCCACGGATACCGAAAGCACTATCAAGAGAAAGGTGCCACACTTACTCTGGTAAATTGCCCAGTTCCATTTAAGGATTAATACCACAATAAGAACCCACCCAGCTGCATTTCTATAAAGGCTTCTGGTAAATAAACTTGCAGCTTGAATGAGGGAGAAGTGGTTTTCATCTGTAAGTAAGACTGTTGGCGACCTCGGCCATTACAGACAGCTTAAAGCTTGTTTATCGATTTCGTAAGATGCTGATAAGTGGCTCTGATACCGACCTGAATGCAAGAACCCATTAAAATATTGACATATTTATTAGAAACCATCACATTTCCAGACAAATGGCAAAAAGAACATGTACCTGCATACCTTTAGGTGTTTGTTAATATGAGGGAACATGTCTTAGGTACTAGGGCCATTGAAACCAGCAGGGGCACTGCTGAGCTGTCCTGCACCCAGCTGGGGACATTACTCTCCGGTCTGTCCTAGGAATTGATATCCTTCAAACTATCTTGGTGTGACCAGATATGCATTTCAGATCTACTCTGGTGTTACTTCATTTCACACTTTGAAAGGAAAATTTGTACTTCATGTATGAATCGGTTTTACATGGTGACACAGAAAATCACCGTCAGATGTCCAACTGATACCAGACACATACAGTCATGTTTACAGAGATCTTATCACTAATTAACCAGAATTATTTTGGATTCGCTCTGCTCATAAACCAAAGATTGTACATTAAGGAGTCTCTAGAGACATCCACTGACCTTTGAACTAAAGAAACTAAAAAAACCTTCTACCAAAGGCGAAAAAGACAAATTAACTCTCTTTAGCGCAGGCTCAAATTAGTTAATTAGTGGTTTATATCTAAAGTGGTCAGATGCAACACAATTCAATTAACAGCATATCAAAATCCTCTTGGTGTAGGGACATGTAAATTAATCGTTTTACAAACATAATTAAGTCACGCAGTCTGATGTCCAGTTTTCATTGTATGATACCTAAAAAAACTTCAAAAAAACAACAACAACAACAACAACAACTCTCCCTCTTCCCCTCTGCCTGATTTCAGCATTTATGTTGCTCAGTGATAAACACTGAGAGTGAATTTAAACGAATGAGAGCGGGGGGAGACTGGGCCCTAGAGACGGCCCACGGCAGCCAGCCAGCGCCACTGAGGGCCAATGGCCAATTAATCGGTCCCAAAGCCCTGGGCTGCTGACCACGGGGCGCCGCGTGTGCGTGCGCACAACCCTGCCCCCCCCGCAGGAACATGCGTGGGATATTGATTCGCCCGTCCACAGCCAGTTTACATAATTGGCTAAAATGGGTGAGCGAGCGCAGAGAGGCATCAGTGCTGCTGAAAAGCATTTCCCAGCTCAGCTTGGAGCGGCGCCAGGCCCAGGGCCGCTCGGACGCCTTCCAGCACCAGCCTGACTGGCAGCAATTAGGGGCGTCTGAGCCAAGCTCAGCTTGTGCTCCGCGCAAACGCCCCTAATTACCGCCAATTAGGCCAGGCGGGCAGGCAGATTTCAGAAGGCAAGCGTGCTCTGGTACCGGGGCTGGGCGTGGATGCGGCTGCGAGGGCTTAAGCGTGGCTAAATAAAAGGTTAACGCTCTGTGTGACACGAAAGGCTGCACGGCTCACCTCCAGCGACGCGCCGGGCTTCTTCTTCAGCTCCTCGCATTTCCTGAACTTGCAGATCTGGTGGCCGGTTTTGCGATTCCGACAGCTGCTGCACACCCCGCAGTTGATCAGCCGCCTGCAGGGGGCGCACACCCCGCACCTTTTCCTCTTCTTCTTGGCCGGGTTGCCGCTGGACGCCGAGGAATTATTCTGCGGGCAGTCTGCCAGATTGGCAATTTGAAACGCACTGTCTGTAACGGCGGCCGAGGCTGCGGGGGAGTGAAGGGCTGTCATGACGATGACCCCGGGAGGTAATGAGATGCCCCCTAAAGCCGGGATGGTGGAAAAAGTTCCGACGCGTTCTGGGAGATTCATTATCTCCGCTTCAGCTGCTGTGCCGCATTTCAGCTTGTTCATGCATTCCCCCGCTAAAGGTCTGCAGTGTTCAGGGGATAAGGTGGAGAGGAAATTATTATTTGCCATTTGCAACGTCTCTGGCGGCACGCCAACCTTCTCGCCCCTCTGGGACTCATTTCTCTGCATGCTGGTCCTATTAGGGTTGATTGCTGCTGACTTTCTTCCCCAGAGCATGGCGTTATCGCAGTTCCAGGGGGACACGCCGATTCGGGCGCTGGGGAAAATTGGCGTGGTTATGCGAGCAATCTTCGCAGTCTGTGGAAATGCCCCGTTCGTTTTGTAGAAGTTTGCGAAGGACCGGTAGCGTTCCATCTCTGCATTATAATCCAAAACTGTGTTTAATCCACTCGAGTCCAACTGAAGATTATCCTTCTGTAAGAGTGACAAGTCAATGTTTTGTCCGCTCTCGACACAGAGAGCGCTGTTTATATTCGACATGGCCGTAGTTTACTGGAGGTTTGACAAGAAATCTGCAGTGCGAGGGTTGAATTCACCTTCGTCAAGCTGTACTGGGTTACAAACAGCTCTTCACCGTGCTGGCCATCGTCTCTGGAACAAGAGACACCAATATTTACATGTGACACGACACCCCTTCATTATGAAACTCTGCTGAGAGCGGCCTGGGAGTCCCAAATGCCCCCCTTGTTATTTAATGACTGCCTTAACTGATATATTTGAAGTCGATTATTTAAGCGGTATGTCGGTCTTAAGCTCACCCAAAACAAGGCCAGGGATGAAAAGAGGAGCCAGGTTTCATGATTCTAAGATCAGTAGCTGAACCTACAGAACATCTAAAGCTGTCACAATGCCTGAGCACCAGACAGTCAATAAGCTTTCATTTTATGCAATATTACAAAAAGTGCGCGGAGCATTAAACGTGCTTTTAAGGAAGCTCAGGATGAAACCCTCGGTAAATATTTTGTTAATTTTTCTCATGGCATACAGACATATGTTTTCTGGATAGCCCACATATAGCACTATAACAAACTGTTTTTTTGATCCACGTTAAACACCTGGACTAGACAAAGACACACTGAGATCTAGGTGAGGGGTCATATTTTTGGGCCACTGAGCAGCCCTGGCGATTCTCTGAGGAGAACCTCTGCTTCCAGGTCACAGCAGTTACCCAGGGACTCCAAGATGGCCACTGCGGGCAGATTTCAGCCTGACCAAGCCGGAGCCAAACACTCGACAACTGTTGTGTCAGCTGCCTGACGGGACTCCATTTCCTCCTGCTAGCCTGCCTGGGTTTTGTTTCCCTAGATAAAAGGCTATTAGACATGTAGCCTGTGTTGGTGCTTTGCTTTTAATCAGCACACCTGATATGCCGCACGCGCACCCTCGCTCTGCAGATAACAAAGGGGCAGCGGCACAGCCTCCAAATGATGGGGCCTCCTCAGGCGGGAATAAATATATTACCGGCTGTAAAAAGATGATCTGCGCTCAGTTTAATGTGCTCCATCTCCCCGGACGTTTTTTAATGGTTCGGATTATAAGCACACTGAAATGTCTCACCTTAAGGCGTCGAGAAATGTCATCAGTCATCGGTCCTTTAGTTTTAGAGTGAAACTTTTCAAGACGCAGTATGTGATAGAGCACTTTGGATGTTTTCTGCATTAATTGCCACTGTGCAAAACATGCATACAATATATCCTAAATAAAAAAAAATATCATGCAATATCCGACATTTAAATGATACCGATGAATGAAAAATGCACAAGAATACCCACGGCTCACCCTCCGTATTTTTAAGTATTAGATATACATTTATTTTATATATAATTAAAAGGCAAAGGCGACTCGGATAGGTTACAATAATTAAATTATGAAGAAAGTTTAATGCAAAAGAGAAGGATCCATAAAAGAGGCTAAGAAAAACACACGTTAAGTTAGGTACCGTTACAACCGGATCCGAGGTGCCGTTAATTACCAGCGGAGACCCTCGGATCAAAGGTCATAAGGGAGATATCCGAAGTGGGGACCGATACCGGGGTAAGAGACCCGGAGGGATCAGCCGGTCGAGTGTAGTGGCGGGGGAAAACGGAGCATCACCTACCGGATTCCCGATGAAAGAAGACGATCCAGACGCTAGCAGACTGCCAGCACGGAGCGGCGCATCAGCGCAAGACGAGCTGGACCGGAGACTGGACCGGGGGCTGGGTGGGCTGAACAGGAGGCTGGCCGCTTCAAAACAAAAGGCGCATCGCACCGGCTCCGGCGGAAAGGGCTACAGCGCCGTGCCAGACGCCGTGCTGCCTGCTGCGGGTCCCCCAGTCGACGTGTGTGGCTGTCGGTGCCGGAGCGGAGATGCGGACACCTACTGCTCGCTGGCTGGAAGTGACTGGAGCAGCCGGTGGGGGTGGCCGGGCTCTCCGCGACTTAACCTTTTCTTTCCTTCTCGCCTTTTTTTTTTTGTTCCCCAGCGCATACGGCGGGGTTTAAAACGCGTGAAAATGCGATTATACGAGCCGTAAGCAGTATTTTGCGGCTCGTTTGAAACTTGCCAAATTAATTACCATCCAGGCGGACAGTGATGAAATACACCGGGCAGGGTTGTGTTTACATGTTTATTCACGATTTATATATTCAAGGCAGGATAATTATTTTAGGAAGCAGGGGAATAGGGTGATCCGAATATATTATTTAGCTCTCGCAATATGCATGCGAATAAAAATTATTGTATTATTAAAAAAAACGGATGCGTATAAAACCTAAAATATATAACATAGGTACACAGATACGGTATTGCTGATTAAGCTATAATAATTGTACGTGAATAGAAAACGGTTTTATTAGGGCGTTGTGTTGGTTATTTATCAGGATTAATGCAAACTTTTCACCAATGTCTGGCAGACCGTGTGAACGTGAATTTCACACTTAATATCAGAATTAAAACCATCCCAGCCCTGGCATCCTGAGAGATGGGCTGCACTTTCTGAGAGTTTTTCACAAAGCAATAATTGTGGTATTAATTGTGGTTTCATCTGTGGTGGTCGATTTCCTGTCTTCATTTGTAGGTGTCGTCTTTTCCTCATTGATGTCATGATTTTCTCCTTTCCTACAACAGATTCCCCATTGACTGGAAGCCATCCACCAGTTTTTTGCTCTTTAACTTCATCGTTAGTGTGTAGCACAAAACAAACCACACGTGCTGCGAACCTGGAGCTTGGGTCTACCTGTCTGTGTCCTGCCCGGCCTGTCTGTGTCCTGCCTGGCCTATCTGGCTTGTGTTTGCGCCTTCATAATCATCAGCTGATGGTCTTCCTAAATGTAGATCAGAGGACAGACAAGGAAATACAACTTCACAATGGGCTAGCAGACTG